CCTGGTTCTGCAGTGAGTAAGGAATGTCATTTTTGTTTGCCATGTAGTTTTCCCTCTATGTATGTTTTCTGCACCTATTTCACATGTGTAACGTGGAAGCGATTTCCCTTTCCTGTGCGTTTGCAGCTGCTGAACGAGCTGAGCGTGGTGGAGGCAGAGCTGCTGCTGAAGTCCTCCAGCCTGGCCGGGAGCTACACCACAGGGCTGTGTGTCTGCATCGTCGCCGTGCTGCGCCGCTACCACGCCTGCCTCATCCTCAGCGCTGAGCAGACCGCACAGGTCTTCGAAGGGTTGGTGGCACCTGCAGTCTTCCAAAAAGGACTTTTGGGGTTGTCTCTGAAGCCGAAGATGGGTTTGGGTTCAGGCAGCCTGTGGACTGTCACTGTGCTGCTCAGCTGACGGTGGGGTTTGTATGACACGAGACTATGAGATGTGTTTTGAAGGTGCGTTGGGACCTCAGCATGGTTTTATTTTTCAGGTTGTGTGGTGTGGTGAAGCACGTGGTCAACCCCTCGGAGTGCTCGTCCCCGGAAAGGTGCATCCTGGCGTACCTCTACGACCTGTACGTGTCCTGCAGCCACCTCAGGAGCAAGTTCGGAGACCTATTCAGGTGGGTCCTCCTGGGTTTCTCCTCTCCTGACAGTTGTCGCAGGCTGCCCTGGTTCCTGTTCACTGTCTGTGTAAAATGCACCACGGCCACAGCGCCTGCAGGCTTGGGGAGAGGGCAGGGGAACCCCGGTGTTGAGTCAGCTGTGGGACCCCTCCCCACACCCCTGTGCTCTTGCAGGTGCTGATGTGAGTGAGTGGGTTCTGTAGTGCATCAGCAAATGGGCTGCAGTGCGCAGTGTGCTGGGTGGAAACAACAAAATCTGACGCAGCTGTAATATTCCATTGAATGTTTCCTTCGATGTGGGGAGAGGCACAAATATGTCTGAGTTTGTGAAGTTTTATGCTCGAATGTTCAGTTCCTTTCTTTTTAAATTAAATAAATATTTTAGGTACCCATACGCTGTATTTTTGGCTCTTGCTTTTTACAGGGGGAGGGGAAACCTTTCATGAGCAATTCCACGTCTTGTGGGACTTGTAAACCACTTCAGTTACTGCTTCCCCTCCTGGTTTATATACCTGGCTTTGGTTTGCGTGCTTCAGGTTTGTGGTTTTCATTTCATAGGGAGCAGCTAAAGAGTTCTCAGTAATAATCTTAATAGGTTTACCAAGACATGGGAACAGAAGAATTTTATATGAGAAACACTAGGAAAAAGAAATAAGAAATACAGGAGAGCTACAGAAGTGTCTTAGCTTTATGTTCCTTTTTCTGCTTAAAACCTAAAGTTCAGTAACGCAATAGTAAATAACTGTTTTGTTAATACTGACCTACAGTAGCAAATCAAAACATCATCTAGTAATATTAGAGATATTGGATATATATTAGATATATTTTAGGTGTGTGTATATATATATA